CAAGACTTACCTTCACAAAGATCTCCAACATTACAGTGAAACAAAGTCGTTGCCTAAATTCACTCGCAACCCGATAACTCAAAGAAACGTAGCCTGTTTTTCATTGATCGTTTCTTGCCTGGCGGTGAATGTTCTCCTTCGCTGGCGCTGTTTGTGTCGTCACGCACCACACCGGGTGATGACAAGTAATGCGCAAGGGACGGGAGCGATCGGCTAGTTACGTCCCAGACGGGCTGAGGCAGCGGGGGCGGGTGGTGGGGGGTGTTGTGGGCGTAGAGTTTTTTTCCTTTTTAATTTTTTAGAACTTAATTTTTCTGGGGTCCATTTTGAAAATGTAGAAAACGTGACGGGGGTCGAAATTTTAAGACAGAGGATTACCATTCTATGTAAAAGTTGTCAAACCATATTATAATTGAAGAAAATAGACGTCCCCTGATGTTCCTTTCTAGTACACAAAAAATCTCGCTGGCGATGCTTCGCCGGCAACAAACCGCAGATCTCGTTTTCTGCAATTATTCTTCTTATGTGTCAATTCTTTTGACCTCTGCGGAACAAACTCCAGCAATGATAAAATTTTCATTTTACCAGGACACCGACTGACAAGCAACGTGAACGAATGAGTCTTTAATGCTAAACTGGCCATACCTGAGAAAGAAACCTCTGCGCGCACGGACACTTTCCCTTCCTTGATTTTACTCGAACTTCACACCTTTTCTTACGTCAGCTGAGAGACGCCTTCACCTTCACATAGATGTATGTATCTTCAAGCTAGAAAGCCTGTGAAACTTATAACAAGTCTCAAACTAAGTTGGGATCGCGAAAATGACATACTTGCACAAAAGTGACTAAAATGGGGTCTATAATTGGCCACAGAATAGACTATCATGGGGTAGGGGCTCTGAGAGGCCAGCGGCACATATCCAGCAAAAATTAACCCAGGTACCCCCTCCCCGGGTAATCGTGACCTTTCTACCGCTTACGGCAGGCGGTGTCGATTTACTAAGCGGGACTCATTACCACCTGCACCGTTGCTAATGACGTCTCTAAAAACTACGTTCTCACGCGGGCAAAACTAGGGTTGGAAATTATAGATCGAGCATGGGCTGGCAATCTCTATGTTTGGAGCGCCCATTTAAACAACAAAAGCTTGTTTGAGGTCGATGTAGAAATCGCGCGCATAATCTGTTTAGCGATAAGAAATTTACCGCAAAAAACCGGTGACGAAGATCCTGCTGGTTGTCTACTTGAGATTATTAGCCTGGGCGCAGGCTCCACATGATGTTGACGAGAAAAAAAATGACAAGAAAAAAATGCACTGTAGGCGAGCCGCCAAAAAAGAAAAAAAGGAAGTAAAGATAAATAAAACATAATACTTGCTCTGTTGTCTCTTTGCCTCCTCACTAACACCCCCCTCTCCCGGGCATCTTTCGGGTATCTTCAATGCTGAACGTTACATTTGGGATTAAAAAGAAGTCATACATATTACGTTGTACATTTAAATTTCCTGATTGCCCTCAATGTAAAAATATAAAAACTCATTTGATATGGGTCGGTCCGGCATTTTTCAAGTGAACCAGATCTTATCCCCACCTACACCCCCAAATGTTCCCTCGTTCCCAGCGTCCTCCTCTTCGAATTCCTTCTTCCACGTGCGAAAGAAAAGATGGCGGAAAGAGGCAGCTTTGTGGGACAAGATATCGAATCCGTAACCTCTTGGTTAGGCGTTCATGGCTTGGAGGGATTGATTGAAATTTTTGCGAGTAAGTGATTGATCCCTATTTACTTACCACTTGAATATATCGCTGAGAACTGATCAGTACATCACTAGCAGCGAGATTCATAAATATTCATTTGATAGCTGCTTCATAATGATATATTTAATTAAATCATGCCGACATTTGCATGCATTTGTGAAAAGGATCAGTATTTATAAACTACTATACTGTCTCGAGCGATTTTTGACAACTCAGTTCATGACTGTATTATAAAATGGCACACGGCATGATTCTAATTGAATTCAAGCTAGCTAGTGCGTGCTAGCGCGTTGTGTTTGCTTTTCAAATCGTATCTGTGTATTTGCATTCGATAAGCCCCACCTTGGGGATTTATCGTATGAGCTGTCCCACCGTGGGGCATTGGCAAAATTATTATGAAAAAAGAAAGGACTGCCTGACAAACGGAATTGACGGAGTCATAAAACAAATGAAATTACCCAAGCAGCCTAAAAGTCGATAAATGTGGCCTGTGGACATTTTTGTAGTAATTTTTGCTAAATCATGCTGGCGAATTCTTTTCTGCGCAGATAGATCAAAATCCCAGAAATCCCTCCCTCTGCTTGTTAATAACTTCGAAGAATACTAATGCATCGGTCAATTCCAGCTGCGCCCAGCCTCCCCCACGGGCTCACCCCCGGGCATTAGCATTTTTTTTGCCTTGGATGGTAAATTCCCGGATGTGGGGACTCATTAGCTGTCAAATCCCCCGAGGTGGGGATGAAAAAAGAGGGCAAATGCCCCGTCCTCCGTTACCACCGCAACATTTTTCTTCGATCGCACAGTCGAATAGTGCCGTTTTAAACATTTTTATGTGCGATTTTTGGTTTGAAGTAACGTCTTTCTTTGTAATAGCGCTAGGATTCTAACTAAGACTTCACAGGGCGACGGCATGAACCAACCGAAATTTGATTCACCAACCAAAAAACGTTGATTCACGTCAATAGCTCCCGATTCCTCGTTGTGTAATTCTGGCTTGATAAGCCATAAAAGATGCGTACATAAAATTGAGAACATGCCTTTACAAGCCCCTGTCCTTGACAGATGAACCAATCTGCGTTTTTTCTAGTAATATCCTCTGTGTAGTTATATGCTGACAGGAAACGGCGTGCGTGTCAAGAGCTGGGAATAGCCCCGGGGATGTCAAATGCCCGGCCCCCGAGCAGCGCGAAATTTGCAAATGCCCCACCCCGGGACTGAAAAGATGGGCTAATGCCCCGCAGTAGCCCAGGGGGGGGGGGGGCTGGGCGCAGCTGGAATTGACTGATGCATAACGTTCTGTAAAAAGTACTAAAGTAAGCACTAAGTAAGTAAGTAAGCACGCTGCTCTTGCAGTTACTTTAAATATAAGTGAGAGAGAATAAATGGGGAAGTAAGCGTGAGTTTTGTTTTGCTTTGTTGTTGTTGTTGTTGTTGTTGTTATCAAGTTTTTTTTTATTGACCCCACATTTCATCTTTTAAAGTTATTTTTAGAAAAAAATTGTCAGACATAGGAATCAATGTTTGATCTAACCTAAAGATTACTCGCCCTTCAGGAAATCAATCGGTGAAAGATTGGAACCCACTTTCCGAGGCGCAAATAACTTCACTAGAGTTAGGCTTTCCTGAAAAAGCTTCGTGTTTACAAATAAGTAAATAAATAAATAAATGAAAAGTTAGTTAGTTAGTCAGTTAGTCAGTTAGTCAGTTAGTCAGTAAGTTCGTTAGTTAGTTAGTTAGTTAGTCAGTTAGTCAGTTAGTCAGTAAGTTCGTTAGTTAGTTAGTTTGGTCGAGCGCTAGCTCAAACAACATGGATCCTTCCTCTCCAGTCACTTTGATGTAGCATCGCCGTTCTGAATTTTCCAATAGTTGTGAACCCACTGTTCTCGAGCACAGTGTGTATAAAGAAATATTCGGATCCACTGTCATACCGTATTTATTCGAATAAGCGTCCAACCTCGAATTAGAGCACACCTCGAATAAGCGCCCCTCCTAATTATAAGCGCCCAGCCTCGAATAAGCCACCACGCCCACCCCAGCCCCCCAAAATTGAATAAGTACTAAAACTAATAAGATACTTCCCCGAAGTTGGAGTTTTCTGGAAAGTATTTTACAGGAACCTTGCTTTGTTACATCTTCGCGTTTTGTTATTGCCATTTATTGTTTTGTTGCAAATAAACATACTACAACTGCTGAAAATGTTGAAAATTTAATAAGCGCCCAGCCTCGAATAAGCGCCCACCTCGAATTAGCGCCCACTCTCAAGGTCCAAAAATTTCATAAGCGCTCAGGGCGGTTAATCGAATAAATACGGTATGCGTGCTTTTTCTTTCCAGAACCTTCACCGAAGTTTATGCAAGTATGCTTTAATTGCATGGTTTGATTGCAAAAACTTCCAAAACTGAACACTATAACCTCAGTAGCATTGTACAATTTAAAGTGTTTTCCTTTTCAAAAACTCTGGGAAAAACTCTAGCTACGTGTTTACCAGTACTTGCAATTCACTAAATGCTGAATTCAACTTCCGTGTAAACTGAGACTCAAAGTGTCACCCTAAATCATTTTGAACTTTATATCGCTTTCATTGAAAACATTGTCATTTTAATACAAACACAATTTATTACAAAGGCAAATTCGGGGCGACAAGGTTTGTCACGTATCACACACTAAAACGTGATTGTATACAGCGCGTCTGACAGTACACGCGCGCACATCTCTGATCATCGTGCTTAAATGCAATGTGATATAAGCTGAGATTATTTCCTGTGATAAATCAGCCGATAAAGAGGCTCATTACTTCCAAAATTAGCCGGCTCGCTAAAATTCACGCAATAGTATACAGTCCTATAAAAAATAGCTAGAAGGATCACGTTTTCGAATTAATTTTCTCTTGCAACAATGCTATTGTTAAAATTTAAAAGAAAGGAGTCAGTGAAATTTGTCGATGCATATAAAGTGTTCTAATTTTTTGACTGCGGTTTCAAGAGAATTGTTCTGGTGAAAGCATTTCACCAGTGAACCTTGTCATAAAACAAGGCAACGATAAGTGAAGTGCGCGTTTGTCAACACCCGCGATTGTTTATTTAATTGACATCTCACCCAAATGTCGCGTGACTTTTCATCCATTTAGTCTAAAGTCCACCGACAGAAGTCTTAACTTCCCTCTGCATTCACGGAGCCGGAACAGAAAAAACAGTGAGTGAAACTGTTCGTGGTGATTTCAGAAGTATTGAAAATAAAATCCAAACAATGAGAAACCGTAGGACAGCGACTCCGGCTCCGCGTTTTTCACACTGGGACCTTGATGGCCGCGATGTTTCGCCTTCGAGAAGGTCGAGTTTGTTGACTCAGCATTTACCATCGTTGAGCGAGGGATCGCAGGAAAGTCTGACAAAGATTATATCGCCTGTCTTTAAGTCATCTGAACAGGGAAGAACCGACATTATAGAGCTTGTTGGTTCACCTGTTAGTCACCGTAGAGGCGAACTTGTAACCTTCTGTATGGAAAGGAGGAAGAAATCCCAAGAACCGACACCAAGTCTTCCAAATTTAAACAACAGAGAGTCGGCAACCAAAGAAAATGTCCAACCTGGGAGCCCCAAGGGAAAATATAATCACTTAACAAGAACTTACTCTCATCCCGCTGTTTCTAAGTCTAGCAGTTTACCAAAACTTTGCAAATGGGACTCACAATCTCAAGTAAACCCTCAGGACAGACGGCATTCAGATGAGATTAGAAGACATATACAGAGAGAGGACATGGACTATGATTTTTTCTCGAATAAAGCGATCATCTTAGAACGTTATTTAAACAATCAAAGCGCTACTTAACTTTAGATTAAATATTATTTAATACCATTAGAGAAGAAGTGTGATTCATTTGTGCAAACTCATTTGGATGTGAAAGAAGTTATTTCACAAATCATGTACACAAATTTACAGACGCGACGTCGATAGCTCAACTCTGAGAGTAAAGGAGTATTATTTCGATTGAACTTTCTGTTTTTTTTTTTAATTTATTGCTGTGATAAAGAGCTAAGTGAGTGAAAGAAATGTAAATAACTGGAAAATTGTTTGATTATTTCTTAAACCAGATTTTATGACGGATTCTGTAACATAAAGATCTTCAGCGTCAAGTGAGTGTATCAAATGGTAAAACGTCTAGATAAAAAAATACAAATGATGTTGTCAGCTGGCTGAAAACAGTAGTCTTTTGTAAAATTAAACCTTCTTTTATAAAACGTAGATATGTCTGCAATTGACTCTGCATTTGCGACTAGATAGAAGAAAGTGTTTTTCTTTCCTTTTTTTCGGTTTTCTTTGCTCGTAAACGCTAACTGTTCATAAAATGGCCATGACTGAAATATTTCCTAACCGCGATCAGTTTTTCTGAAAAATTCCATGGTAAAACTTGCCAACCAAATTGATCTTGGAGTTATCAAAGCTTTAATTGGTATAAACGAGACAAAATGCAGTAAGTATCATGAGATAGGTAACAAAGTCCTGACTAACTGCACGTTTTTTCAGTTGGGGTACGTGCTTGGCTCTTAATTGAGAAGCACAGGTCAGTAAGTAGCTTAATCTTATAATTTCCATTATGTTTGTCCATGATAGGCTTTTCTTTTATTTTTATATCTGAAAGCAAATTATTTAGTATAGACGATTGAAATATACATTTTTTAAAAGTGCAAATAAGGTGTATGATAGGGTAAATCGAAAAATACCCCACTCTCGGCGGGAAATATGTCATGAAAGTTACGCCGATTAATTTTTCTTTCATCCCAGTTCTGTATTTTATCCTTTCTTGATGTTCTTTTTTAAGAAGTCCTCCAGTTCATTTAATCGCTACAACCAATTTTCAAGTGTCGAAAATTCAAGGCTTTCAATGGCCAAATAGCCGTAACTTTTTGTGGGTCTCCTTTATGTTGCCAATCAGATAATAATAAACCTTTCAGACTGTCTGGATACTGTGTATTCCTGATCAGTTTATTTGCAGATTTGGACCAGTATTTTATTTGTATTTATTTCTAGGTGATTGATAGAAATTTATTAAATTTTCGCTGGTTTTGACCCTACTTGAGACAATCATGTACGGATCAAGGAATATCTCGCAACTTGCGTGGGTTATACCACCCAGTCCTATTTAAATCGCCAGAAAACTAATCACAAAACTTTCTTGCACAAAACTGAATCTTTTCAAAATTTGAAAACAAGCCAGCAGCACTTTCCAATCCACAAAACCTACTTGTATTATTATTTTCAGTTATTTCCGTTCAAAAGAGACTGATAAACTAGCTGTCGTAGCTAGATGAACCGATACTTGAAACTGACCCGCCTGTAATTTGGAGTTTGACGTACTACATGTAGAGCACACTTATGCCGGTTTGAAGTAGGGCTTGAAAGCCGGTAAACCACCAACAAAGTAACTTGCTATTGTTGTAATTTCCAGACATTCCGAAAAGATTATTCAATATTATTATTATAACGCACAAAACTTATAATCTCGTCAAAAACGATGAGGGAGCATTTTGAGGGGCCTCCCACTGAGAACGCACCACCAGCTCCAAAATTTTACTTCATTTCAAAAAAAAAATACCTCCATCTGTACCAAGGGCAAACTTACTTGTTCTATTTATTCCAGAATATACCTAAAGGCGAAAACTTGAAAACACAATAGTTGGTAACATTGGCTAAGAGAGATCGAGATACCGAAAATTTGTTGTGACAGTTGGCACGCTTTCTCACGCCCTGAGGCAAGCGTTGGGTCCGTTTCGCAATAATCAGTGCAAACAATTAGACGCAGTAACCAGTGACGGTGCGTTTCTTTAGCGCAGGTCTAAGCTCATGCATAAAACTTAAAAATAACCAAGATTGGCTTAAACACAATAACAGTTTATGATCTTTCTCTACTCTCTACATGGTTGTCTAAAGAATAGGGTGATGCAGGCACCGGCAATAAAACTGGGAATTCGGTTCTACGTGGAAGTATGCAGTGAAAACATTATTGCCAACAAAAACGTGAATATCGGTTTTATAATTCTATAGGACTCGTGACCCAGGAGTTAAAACTTTATGAAGAACTCTGCGTCGTACACGTGCAATTTAACATGAAACAATGCCTAATTTGCCAAGTACTAAAGTAAACTAGTCAGTTGTAGTATTGTCTTGACATCAGTGACTGAGAGCAGGTCCGCGTACTCTTCAGTGTCAGGGGGTGTAATTAAAATACCCAGGAAAAGAGGAATGACAATTATCCGGTGGATGGCGCTATCCCAAACGTTTGAAAAACCATAATATTTTCGATGATGCATCTCGATTACACAAGGTAAGCGTTCAGAAATTTCTTCCTTGTTTCTATTCTGGTTTTGAAGAGCATGAGATAAAACCGATAAGAGATTTAAAGTGATAAGATTCATCTCCCCATTAATACAATTAAATACAATCTCCCCTGGCTTCAGTTGGGTGTACTGATATTATACATATATTAATATATATGTTGTGTATAATATTTTGTAAAAGTGTTTAAGATTAAGTCAGTGTTTACAGCAACTGATAACGGTTTCCTTAGCTTTCCAGTTTAAATATTAAGAAGGTTGTGGAAACTTCTTGTCATTTAATGACTTTAATTTCGTGCTGTAACAAGCACTTTTTTTTTTTCTGTAGAATGAACCGAAAAATAGTCTTCACCGCTACAGCATTCATTCCTACCTCGTGTGCATTTATTTGCCGGTAAATCACACAGTAACCCAAGGATTTTTTTTTTTTTTTACCATGGTTTCCCACTCTTTATCGACGTCTTAATATCAGTTCCAGATGGCTGCAATCGGCACGAACCTCTCTGGTGATTAAAAGAAAAATTGGAATTGCCGAGGGTGGCAGAACTTCAGCAAGAGAACATAGGGTCCTTTTCATTTATTTTTAGTTTGTCATTGTTTTCAACTGTTTAGTACCCTGAGACGACGTCTTTTAACATTGTCCAATCATTAATGATGCGTTGACTCTTTCAAAATCAATAGAGCCGAAAACCAAAATTTTGAAATATGTCTTGTCCAAATCACGTTTCAGTCATATCGTGGTTTTGAAATTACTGACCACGGTGCCATATCCATATAACTGGAGCCAAACACAGCGCTGAATGGCTGCCGCAAAGAGGTAATTATTATGATTCGTCATTAAAAAAGAATAATATTAATAGTAACGTTCAAACAGAACCATGGCTCGACTTAAAGAATTTAATTTCCTGAGAAAAGACCGGTTGTCACGCAACATTTGACTGAGTTTAATCTTGCATGACGTAAGGACTGTTTCTTCTTAACCTTGGTCGAAACAGTCAGCCTTCACTAACGTTTCAAAAGGGATTTGTGGTTGTGAAAGAGTGATAAAAGAGGTTAAAACGTATGAGATCGTGCAGTTTTGCTCTTCCGCCATTGACTGGTAGGCATTGAGCCAATTTTCACAGACAGCAGACCAGTAAGTCTACAGGGGCACCCAACGAGAATATAGTTCAAAACCACTTAAACATAGCACTGTTGAATGTATTTTAGTATTTTAAAAACGGTAGATATAGGCATATCTTTATCCCCTAAAAATTTTTCATCTGTTCGGATTTCCTAGCTGACAGTCTAGTGATCCGAAAATTACAGGGATCAAAACTTACCTCTTCGAAAATTTTAGCCAGAAAATAGGCTCCCGAAAATTCTAGGTGAACTTTTTAGGGTAAAAATGAGTTAAAAATGGGCAAGTATACCATCTTTTATATGTGCGAAAATCCTAGGAGAGGCATGCAAGCAAGAAATTTTACAACAAATGTTCCGAAAATTCTAGATCTCAAATCGTCTTCCGAACAGATATTTTCCCGAAAATTGTCGTTTGGTGCCCCTGAGTCTATAGTCCTGTGTCGAGAAACAGCAAAAAGGTGTTTCCTTATGAGTTAAAGCCAGCAGTGTCTACGCTGTGAAAAGGATCAGCGACGTCTTTGAAACAACAGAACAGCGATATCTAAGCGAAATGCAGCCCTATAAAAGGTATATTGTTAACGAGACGACCTAGTGAGTTCTTCAGGGTGAAAAGAGAGTCAGTTTTACAGCTTGTCATATGGGCAAGCTGTACCTCAGTAGCATATACTAGCCCAAGACTGCGGTAATTTTAACTAGCCCGAAAAAATTTTGATGAGCAGATTTGATCTCAGTTCTTCTGTAATTCGATTGGCCCAAAAAACTTCAATCTCCCATCGGATAAGTTAAGAACAGAATCCACTATCCCGATCCTAAAATGTACTAGCACCAGGCTATAGGACACGACTTTCTTTGCACGCTGTTCTTGTGTCCGACAGCTTTCGAAAACTGAAATTCTTGCAAGCTTAAATACGGTTCATCCATTTTTTGTTTATTTATTTATTTGCTTATTTATTTATTTACTCAATTCAATTACACAGATCTTCAAAATAATACAATTAAAATCGAAGAAAACCAAATATAAAAAAGTGATATCTACATAATTAGGACAGGTTTATACAGAACACGAGGACTACACAAAGCACTTCACCTCAGAAAGTTAGGAAACAGTTAACCTATTGTCACTTATTATATTTCGTTTCCGAGGAGGTCTACTGCTGTTCTTATTTTAGTAATTGTTAGACAGAGACAAGACATCACGTAACTGCCAGAAGAGTCGAGGCGGTTCGTGCGATACCTCACGTCCATCTAGTCCGCTGACTTTGGTATTGTGTTAAAAGTAAAGTCACTCTGCGAATAAGGGATTTAGAAATAAGACTTTAGGACCAAATATTTAAACGAAGTCTAACTTAAGCCGCGGTTAACGAATCTTTGAACCTTCAGATCTCTTTTTTGGTGGGTTGTTTTAAGAAGATAAATGCTTTTCTAGTCTTCTCTATATGCTTTCATAGAACTGTACACAATAAATGTTGTTTAGATAAAATCTTTGGGCAAATTGAAAAT